AGATTTTTTATGGAGCTGATTGTCTGTTTAACGACAATGTTTTTTTTTACTTGTGCGGAATACACAGATATATATCTGGCATGTTTACAAGTTTTCCAAAATACAGACACTCGGATGGGGCTATGGGGACGTGATGACTTAAGGAAATGACAGGTAATGGACGGGATAGCAGGTGAATGAGGAGGGAGGATCTTGGAGCAGGGACTTGACCGACACCGGATGTTGTGGGGTAAGAGTGAAGGGAGAGCCAAAAATGGTCATTAGTCTTCAATCCTCTGGTTAGCGTGGGTGAAATGGGCTGGTATCTGTGTTTGTTCCCATGGAGTCCTGACTGTTTACCTTCCGTTAATTTAAAGTTTTAAGTCTCCAAACCTAGTGATATGATTGTGAACTGGGTCTCTACTCTGCATATGATCAGAAATAATAATATAGGCATTTGCACAGAACAACCAGTCTATCCAATCCTAGTGAGGCTGATGGTGTTGGTGGAGGTAGGGGGAAGGATGGAGTGTTGGTTAGTGGTATAGGGTGGGGAGGGGGGCTGGGGTTGGGTGAGGGAACGATCATCTTCAATACCTCGCCCATCTCAGTACAGCTCATTCTACCACCTAAGATGGGTGTAATGGCGAAGCTCGTGGGTTTGATCTAAAATTATATATATATATTCATTCAATAGTGGAAACACTTACCCGTTGTATGCAAGTCTCCTAGTGCTGCTGCTGCTGCCTTAGGTGAGTACAACTAGGTGATCACACCACACAGGCTCACGAGCGAGCCCCTACCACCCACACCCTCCCCACCTCCTTCCCATTCATTCATTCATGTCAGGCACACCTCACACAGTTTGCTTTTCCCTGATCTAGAGACTTCCTGCTTAACTCTAGAGGCTACATGCAGAGCTAGACAGGTGGTCCTCACCCTCAGATTGACAAGTGAATGGGCCTTTGTAATGGTTGGCAACTGCCTGTGATCTGCTGGAGACCTGACAGAAAGAAAACCTCAACAGACGCCCTTCGGTTAATGTGTGTGGTTTTAACTCCCCCAACATGTGTGAGAGGAGGGGGGAGGCACGGACAGCTGTTAACCCAGGTAAGCGCAACTATGGGAGCACACCACGTTTGGTTGTGTGCCAGACATCCTGTTTCCCATGCCTCCCTAACCTAACTTTCCACATTCTGCACCCGGTCTCCTAGGTCTGGTGGTGCCATGTGCTCCCATCATGCTTAACTTTACACATGCCCACGCTTATCACACTAAGCATACACATCTGTGTAACTCTACCCTCCAAATACATAAACTTTCAACAATAACCTTTACTTCCTACATACACACCTGCACTCATGCTTCACACCTGGTACACATACCCTATCCTAACCATTCACCTCATTAAACACCATAAGGACTACGGTCACACGAGCAAAGACCACCTCTCACCCCTTGAGATGGATCTCTCCCAGCGGTGAGCGCGGGAGATGCGCCGAGATACCTTGGCGCACGCGGTTCTAGTCCTCAATTTCACTACTAGCCCGGAGTGTGAAGGTGTTTTGACGGCCTAGAGTGTGAGGGTGTTGATGGCCCGGAGTGTGAAGGTGTTTTGACGGCCTGGAGTGTGAGGGTGTTGACGGCCCGGAGTGTGAGGGTGTTGACGGCCAGGAGTGTGAGGGTGTTGACGGCCTGGAGTGTGAGGGTGTTGATGGCCAGGAGGGTAAGGGTGTTGACGGCCAGGAGTGTGAGGGTGTTGACGGCCCGGAGTGTGAAGGTGTTTTGACGGCCCGGAGTGTGAAGGTGTTTTGACGGCCTGGAGTGTGAGGGTGTTGACGGCCCGGAGTGTGAGGGTGTTGACGGCCAGGAGTGTGAGGGTGTTGACGGCCTGGAGTGTGAGGGTGTTGATGGCCTGGAGTGTGAGGGTGTTGACGGCCCGGAGTGTGAGGGTGTTGACGGCCAGGAGTGTGAGGGTGTTGACGGCCAGGAGTGTGAGGGTGTTGATGGCCAGGAGGGTAAGGGTGTTGACGGCCAGGAGTGTGAGGGTGTTGATGGCCAGGAGGGTAAGGGTGTTGACGGCCAGGAGGGTATGGGTGTTGACGGCCAGGAGTGTGAGGGTGTTGACGGCCTGGAGTGTGAGGGTGTTGACGGCCTGGAGTGTGAGGGTGTTGACGGCCAGGAGTGTGAGGGTGTTGACGGCCAGGAGTGTGAGGGTGTTGACGGCCTGGAGTGTGAGGGTGTTGACGGCCTGGAGTGTGAGGGTGTTGACGGCCAGGAGTGTGAGGGTGTTGACGGCCTGGAGTGTGAGAGTGTTGACGGCCCGGAGTGTGAGGGTGTTGACGGCCTGGAGTGTGAGGGTGTTGACGGCCTGGAGTGTGAGGGTGTTGACGGCCTGGAGTGTGAGGGTGTTGACGGCCTGGAGTGTGAGAGTATTGACGGCCCGGAGTGTGAGGGTGTTGACGGCCAGGAGTGTGAGGGTGTTGACGGCCTGGAGTGTGAGAGTGTTGACGGCCTGGAG